CTTTCTTCAAAACCTCAAAATTACTAGACAGCATGTTTCTTCGTATCCAATAGCGAAAACAAAACTTCCTTAAAACGAGTCAAAATGTAATTGATTGCCCGTTTGTCTATGTCTTAATACAAATCTATCTAGCCATGCCAAGAATAAAACATTGCCTGTATTACTATGTCTTAACAACACAAATCTATCTAGCCATGCCAAGAATAAAACATTGCCTGTATTACTAAGTCTTAACAACACAAATCTTTCTAGCCAAGCCAAGGATGAAATTGACTGAATGTTTGTCTATGTCTTAACGCCACAAATCTCTCTAGACAACCCAAGAATAAAACAGACTGTCTGTCTCTCCTGTGTCTTGTCCAACTGCCCATTATGTCCCCCCACACACAAACAGCCCCCTTCACACAAACAGCCCCCCCCACACACACATACCCACACACACATACACACACACACACACACACACCTGTATTCAAAAGTCGACCGGACCAGCCCCTTACAAGTTTGCCTGCATGTTTATTTACCCTACAGTTTACCCCGAGCCCTAACAAAAGAAGTATTGTAATTAACCTATTAACGAAGGTCTTAATTGAACACATGTCTTGTAAACATCGTTTACACGAGTGAGGGGTGGATATAGGTTAACGTGAATCATGTAATGGTTAAAATAAATTGTAGACGAGTGTTATGTAATTAAAGAAAACGGGTTTTAAATAAGATATTTTCTGTGGGTGTATCTAAAAATGTTGTGTCGTCCATTATTACCTTTGCTTCTTTGTTGTGTAAATCATTTGCCCAACTTCTTCTTCCAGATGATTCCATATACACATACATCAATACACACGTGCATGCATACACATAATGCACTTACATACATACAAATACTACACACATGCATACATACACATAATAGACACAAGCATACAAACACGTAATACACACAAGCATACTTGTACATATAATACATACATGCATCAATAAAAACATACACCAATACATCTTTGCTAGCACACAGAACACACATAAATATACATACAAACATACATATATTACACAAACATCCCATGTTCCACATTGGAGCAGTCACCTTTTTTTATCGTCTGCTAATGGCTAAAGGAAAACGACAAACACGTCGTTGGCGTTCGGTCGTATAAAAGTCGAAATATATTTCCCTTTAATCGTCCAAGTTTTTTGTTTTTTGTGTTTTTTTCTTTTTGCTGTAAAACCTTCCCAGGGACCCACCTGTGTTCCCCTCATTAAATAATCTCTCCATCTCTCTTTTTCTATCTCTCTCTTTATTAAATATCCAGAGAAATGCAATTCGTTTATATGTTCTCTATCTTTACGTCTCTCACTATCTCTCTCTCATTCTTTCAACCTCCCTGCGTCTTTCCCCCCAGAAATGTTAATTGTTTCTGTATCCTGTCGTTATTATTTCTCTCCTTTTCTCATCTTCACATAGAAATTCAACTCGTCCTCATTTCTATCTACTCTTCAGTCTTTTGTCTATCTCTGTCTATCTACACCTACAGAAATACAAATAATGTGTCTACGTTTTTCTATATATATCCTACTATTTCTCCTCCCCACAAAAATGCGACTAGTCTAACTTTCTCTCCTGCCTTTCTCTTTCTCTCTCACAACTCGTCTAATCTTCTCTCTATCTTGCTTTCTCTCCTTCCTACTAAAATGCTACTCGTCTAACTTCCATTCCTGTCTTCTCTGTCTCTCTCTCTCTCTCCACCTCTCCCTCCCACAGAAATACACCTCGCCTACATCTCTCTACAACTCTCCTTCCCACAGAAATACACCTCGCCTACATCTCTCTCCACCTCTCCTTCTCACAGAAATGCAACTCGCCTACATCTCTCTCCACCTCTCCCTCTCACAGAAATGCAACTCGCCTACTTCTCTCTTTTGCCTTCTATCCCTCCCAGAGAAATGCAACTCGTCTAACCTTCTCTCCCTCCCAGAGAAATACACCTCGCCTACCTCTCCCCACCTCTCCCTACAGGTGAGCTTACACCCAACATCAACTGCACTCATTAATTTTCTATTTCCAATGTCTGGCAAACCCCCCTTAAAGCAGGGGGGGTCAAACTAGTGAAACAGACTTAGTGACTGACTTGAGAGATACCACAGTCCCAACCGACTGACACTCATAGGTAATTGACAGGCTAATTAAATTAAATTAACAAATACTGACCTAACAAAATCAGAATTACCATACGTTTGTAATTAACTTTGTTCTTTTTGTGGGTTCTGTATTCATCAATAAGTAGGTGAAAACATTCCTCTTTAGACCTTGCGATTAATGTTGCAGATAAAGTAAAGTTCGTATGTTTCTTGACCTCGGCTTATGAATAGATGGAGTGGTTAGCCGCCTTTACTTTCCCAAAGATGAGATAGGTACCTATTAGAGCTGGGTGAACTCAGGATGTCCTACCGTCGTAATCCGAATCGAGATTGGAACTCAAGACTTTCAGGCTACTAGCCAAACGCTCTATAATTCGGCCTCGCCATCCCCATTTATCAAAACGTTACAGTTTGGCGAAGCAGGATAACTCTGTACTTTCATTAGACCAAAATTGCTTGTTGGGGAAGGTGGGGGATTTCTTTACAGCAACTTTAAAATTTAAATATCTAAAATAAAGTAACGTTATGGTGGATCATGTTCACAGATTACATCATGCATTCGTACGTTAACCTTAGTCAATCGTGTGTACGGTTTCAACAGATTATGACATAACTAGGTTGATGACCCGTTCTTCACCTACTCCCACTCCCCGGGGGGAGGAAGTAGAGCATAGACTGTATGTATAAAAAAAAATTGGTGCATTGTTCCCTAGGGCTTCCGACCGCAACGATTCTGCAAAAAAAAAAATTCCTTCTTTAATGCAAATCATATTCGCAACGACGAAGTCCTAATGTCTATACTGACTGAATGACACACTACCTAGCGGCTTCTCCAATAGATGTAAAATGCATAGGCGTAGCTAGGGGGGAGGGGGGTGCGGACCGCACCGGGTGACACCATTTAGGGGGGTGACACCAAGGC